CCCCCATAAAAAAAGAAATTTAAATTTTATTTATGCAATCGGACTATGGCAAATGTTGACATAATATGTCAAAATTATAATTCAACTATAGCAATATCGCCATAGTTGTTTTAAAACTGCGGTCAGAAAGGTAAAAATATTGTACTCCCAGAAAATAAAACGTAAATCGGATTTAAACGTCTAACTGCAGTATCTATTTCGGTCACTCAAATTTCAGGAGAGAATTATAGCCCACGCTTCAAAAGCAGCATCCATTACCTTTTTACAATCTGTTTCCCTTCCCATAAATCGCGCGCACTCGTATATATGGGTTTCACATTGTCCAGCCAAGCAGTATGATTATTATGATATATGGGCGGTGACGTTTAGCTCAAACGGTTATTTGATACTTGGCATTCTCCGTCCAACATATCCCCCTTGCAGGTTACTTTGGAATCATATATTTATTTTTTGCGTCTATACCTGCTGCGCCTTTAGGTATTATGCAGCGGATACATGAATGCAGGCATAAAAAAGACAGATGCATAAACAAGCAAAAAAACATGGTTCGTGAGATCGTTGTAATATATCTTTGAAACGAGCATAATCGACAACAATAATAACTTCTTCCGGCAGTACATTGCATTTAAGGTTGTTTGAGCAAAAAAGAAAAAGAAGCATATATGATAAATATATTTTTCCACTTTTTTATAATGATAAAACTTAAAAACGCATGATGGGGGGGTAGTTAGACCTCTTTTGATACATGTACGTATGTCCATTATAGCATTCTAATCATTTTCAGTCGTAAGTACTTCCTTTTTCGTTTAGAAAGTTCCAACCTAATCATTGTTTCATTTCGGTATAACATGTACAGGCGCTGTGGTCGCTTATAACAAATCTTGGAGTTAGTCTAAATTCGCGTTAACTTATGTGCGAGGTAAATTTGGGTGCTTCGGTGTTGTTTCTCGAGTGGCAAGCGGGGAAACTGCTGTTATTTCTTTTTAAGATCAGGACTGCACAAAGCGCAATTCGGGCATTTGCAAAGAGCGCGTTAGCTACGACTGCGTCCGTTGTGACCGGAGCGATTGGAACAACGGCTCTGCGCTGCGCGTACACACTCCTGCAACCACTGCAACAAGCGCAGCAGGTCGTCAGCACGACGGCCGCTTCTCCGCCGCCGTCAGCTGTTTCCGCGATGTTTTTTAAAAGGAGGGGACGCGCCGCCACTCACTGGCGTAGCAGAAAGTGGACAGAGTTTTCTATGGGCTCAAGCTTTATTCATTTTCATTTTGTCAGGATAGGCTCGAAGGGCAGAGTGGATGAAAAATGAAAAGAAAAAGATGCAGTAGGCCGTGCTGGACGATCACGACTTTAACCCTCGCTTTGTCACACGCCCTTTCTACGACTGCAAAAGGCAATATAATCTTAGCAGCAATATAGCAATGTAGAAATATGACTTTGCGGGAGTTCAGAGATGATAACACTCATCACATTTCTCGGGTGATGAAAACGCGTCAAAAGTTCGCATCCTTCACACACGCCTGTAAATACAGTATGCACCAGTAATACCTTGAACATTAGCACACGCATGGCATGCGCAAAATTAGAAATTCGGCGATGTTGGAGGACACAAATGCTAAGAAAGCACCGCTGTAGTCGAAGTAAACAAACACGACGGCACGCTTTCGCATTGACAACTCATAAGAAGTGCGTAGGTGTACCTCGAGTTTTTTTGTTTTTTTTACTCGTACCACGTGCTGTACGCAATAGAAGAGCACCGTTAAAGACCCGCAAAGCAAGGTAACGAATCTACACTATATATGGGGGTCGAAAGTTTTTGTAAAGCCCATGGACAGCTCGTTTATTTAGAGACTGCTTTGTTTACTTGTCCATCGTTACTAGTTGTCCTCAGGACACCACGCCTTGTGATTATCTTCAGGTTGAATGATATACTGAGACATTATGATTGTGCTATAAGCGGCACTCATTCCACAAAGCTGTTCACACAACCACGTCTTTGGCACCATCACTTCCTTGAGTGTTACAAACAGGCATTTGCGAAGGCCCGCCGAAATGAAGTTTTGATTAACATTCTAATACCCCTGTTACACGGCCACACTTAACCGCGGTTAACTCAGCTTTAACTGCGGTTACGTGGCAGCACAGATGCCGCACTATACCCTCGGACAGCTATTTCAAAAGAAGTGAAGAGAGCGCGTGCACTGCTTTGATGGGTGCTCAAGATGCTCAAGCGCACGTTCGCCCATAGCTGTGACTGCATCGCCGCAGAATGTTGTCGGCAAGTATTGTGCGCTAAGTGTGGTTTAGCGTAACTACAGTTAAGTGTGCCCGTGTAACAAGGGTATAAGTAACTACACGCCAAGTTTTTTTCTCTCGTTTTATTGGTAGTCTGTGTTACATCACACAATTTGGAAGACAGCATGTGAGGTCACTTTATGGTCGTACTGTCAGTGAGTTCGCTGCTGGTTTGCAGGTGAAGCATCAAGTCATCTAATGAAGGTCATTGGCAGAAAATTAATGGCCCGTGGGCAACATTAGCAAAGAGTGTAAAGCTCTTGAGCGACAAGAGGCTCATTCTGCGCTTTCAGTCTTCTCTGCGAAATTATGTCAACATGTTACACGGACGGTGCATCGGTATTCTATAGCTTTGGTGATTATTAGATTGCACAGTGTAATTATACGAGAGCAAATGATGTAAAAGGAACAATTTAAAGCTTCGAACCAAAATTGTTGACTTTATTTTAATTCGTTGGCATTAGAACGCTCGTTTTGTCGAAAACCCCGCGGTGTCTTTCGTTTGTCGATGCCGGGGAGAGAGGGAGAAGGACGGGGATAAGGTGACGCGTGCGAAGCTATCATTGGTCCGAAGCGCTGGCGTCAACACGGGTCAACCTCGTCCTCTCTTCCCGGCGCTGACAAAGTAACAGACACCGCTGGGTCTTCGACACAACGAGCCCTTTCGCCTTCGTCAGAGGAGCCTGGCACAGCTGGCGCTGAACCGGACAGAAGGAGGCGCGCCTCGGCGAGGTGGAATGAAAGCGTGCTCAGACGTCGCTCTGCCGTCGACGGTTGTTCTTCGCTTTGGGTTTCCATAGTAGCGGTGCGTGGGCTGTGGTGTGTGTGTGTAGTTAAAACGATGGATGCGGTTCCCTGCACGAGTGATGTGGATGCGATTCCTTCCATGAGTGGTAGGGATGTGGTTATTTCCACGAGGGATATATATAACCATATCCAAGGGCGTCGACGTACTTTGAGAGCAGAGTACAGAAGAGGGGTGATACAAATAACAGGAAAATCCATTGGTGGATTCTTAGGGAATCCGTTAGCATGATTATAATGCTATTAAATGTTATACGGACGGTCCATCGGTATTCTTAGCTTTGTTGATTGACATACTGATTGATAACCTTTTTTTTTTTTTTTTGCTCCTTTGCTTCTTCTTCTCTCTCTCTCTCTCTCATTCGTTTCTATGTGTGACTTTGTTCTGCATCTTCGTTACCATCTGCCAAGAACTCGGGGCCCGGACCTCGTCAAGCTAACAAAGATTGGCGTTTTTGCATGTGGCTTCGGCATTTGTATATTTAGACGCAAACGAAATTATTGGATTTGATTTGATTTAATATCCTAATTTCGTCTTGGCATCGGAAGTTTTTTTATATTTTCATTACTCAATTTAAGGTTTTCCAATGGCTAGATTATTGTCGATAATGTTGTGTGTCCCTCATTATTCCCAAGTATTTCTGGTTCAAAACTTGTTTTATTATTGTTTCAAACCAGCCTACAATTTTTTTAACTCTTACTAAGAATGTGTTACATTTTAGCTTCTGCAACAAACTTAAATGTTAAGTTTTGTGTACGAAACAGACAGTGATACTGAACATATGGTTGTGAAATAACTATGGGCTGGAAGCAAAGAAAGTTGACGGTAGGCAGTTTATTTACATCATTTGTACACGTGCTTTGATCGAGGCCTCGTTGCAGTGGGATAGGGCCCGCAAGACGTTTTTTGGCATTAGGCCACCGTCTCATTGCTCTCTTTTGCTGAAAGAAGAAGAATATAATTTGAATCGCCGCCACAATAAAACGATTCATGAAAGTCTACGCAGTCACCCTGTGTTTTTAATGCAGCAAATCACCTTTCAGTCATGTATCCATTATACAAGTTGTCATATATGAATTCAGAAATGGACCTGCGGTTTATGCACCAGCGGATATAGCTTGCGGAAGGACCAACAAATGGCTCTCTTTTTAACGCGAAAGCATTACCTATCTTATGGAACGAAGTCGGCAACGCCTGTAACAGCAAAAAAAAAGAATGACGATTTTCATTTTGGTTGAGTTAAGGCCGGTTCTCACATGCAGCGAAGCGCTGATGTAGCGCTCCTCACGTGCCATCAGCTACTTATCGTATGCCATGAGCAACAGTTTTGACGGTGCGATACAAAGCTGGTGAACGCTGTCGTCAGCACGTGCTTAGCGCGAGGTCAGCGCTATGCTTGTAGCGCTCCGCTGCATGTGTGAACGGGCCTTAAACCTGCACCTAGATATACTTCGTTTCACCTTATGTTGTACCGCAGCGAAGGCTAGAAGCGCGAGCTCATAGCGTCGGCAGCTGCTCTTGAGTCACGAGAGCTTGTGCCGCCGAAATGTGCCCCAGAGCACGGAGGTCGCGCTTGTAGCCTTTCCTGCGGTACATCATAAGGTGAAACAGAGTATAGTTATTGGCAGCCGCTTCACAAGAGCGCGCGCGCCGGCGCCATCTCGGCAGTAGCGTAACGTTGCCGTCCTTGCCAGTAAACCGCAGACGAACTAAGGGAGCGGAAGAACGACATTTATGCTTTCGCATTCACAACTCGTAAGAAGTGCTTAGGTGTCCTCGGAATTTTTTTTATATATTTACATAGAGAAATTCTTCAGTCATTATTCTCTTTGATTTCTTGTCAAGCGTACTGCCGGATTTAAGTTTTTACTCACCATTTTTCTTTCTCCGGAGCTGATCAGCCCTTCAATCCATAGCCTCCGCCGTATCCACCGCCGTAACCACCTCCGAATCCACCATAGCCGCCTCCGAATCCGCCTCCGAATCCGCCGCCGAAACCGCCGCCGTAGCCGCCACCCAAACCAGAGTGGGCCAGCAAGGCTCCTCCGCCGTGGACCTTGCTTACATGGTGGACGGTCTTTACCAAGAATGCTGGCCCGGCTACAGCCTTTCCATATCCAGCACCTCCTCCGTTAAGAAGGACAACGCTACTTCCCAGGCCAACACCACCGCCGTAGCCGCCTCCGATGCCACCTCCGTAGCCACCGCCGAAGCCGCCTCCGTAGCCACCGCCGAAGCCCCCACCGTAGCCACCGCCGTATCCTCCCAGCAAGGCACCGGCCATGGCGGCGGAAACAACTGCACCGAAGACAACTGCAACAAACTGAAAAAGGGCCATCGAGAATGTGCTAGCCCCATCCCAGCCTCCCAAATTACGTACGCTTCACGTGTAAGCACACTAACAAGCACAAATACAAAAATTAGTCAAAAACAAACAAACAGTATGTTAGTGCGGAGTTATTATCAGGCTCAGGCTGCATGAACTCGAAAGGAAAGTTGCCACTAAATGTGATAACCGTGGTCTGCTGTAAACTTACTTTAAAGTAATTTAAATTCCAGATTTAACGTCATGCTGGTTCCTGTGTGTTAAACTGGTTTAACGTTTTTATATGTATTGAAAATATGAATACAGCGTACCCCTCTTCATTACACATGAAATCTTAATCCTGAGTTGTCCGATTCAGCGTCTCAATAACAATACTAGCTTTTCTTGATTAGATGTATGTATAGAATACAATTTTTGTCGGCTGATTCAGACTAATTATGACGCAGTTTATTTCCAATTTTGCCCGTCCAAAAAAAAAAAAAAAAAGCGGTCATTTCCAGGAAACTTGTTAGCCATAGATATTTTATAATAAACTACATTGCACATATGTGAAGTGCAGCGGCCGCAGTGCGTTCTGATATGAATGTATACACCACAATCGCTCTTGTTTTACTTAACGCTCTTTACCTAATTTATATGATATTTCTCTTTCATAGATATCTAACATAGATTGAACAACATTCGTGAGTTGTAGCTTGATATTCTTTGTTATATTGGATGTTAGAAAAGATAAGCAACAACCAACAGCTATAATAAATATTGACAGCAAATGAGTATGGAAACTTCAATCTGAATGCCAAACTTGACTACTCCCAAAGAGCTGGAAATTGGTTATAGATGCAGAATCTAAAAATAAAAACATTGATAAAGGAAAGAGAATTTTTAATAAGCTAACAATAAGATTTTACCATTCTAGATAGATGGCAAAACGCAAAAGAGGAATACGCCTTTATTCCGTGTGTGTCGTTTCTGTTCCGTCTTTCTTGCTCTGTTCGTTGAGTGTTTTACACAAAGAACAAAGTAACCCTGCTCGAACTGCGAAAAATAATGGCTTTCAATGACATATTTGTAGTTTTTGGGGAGTTTCCACGCTGCAACTAGCTTACTAGATTATACACCGAAGAAATATTAAAGTACGTAGATGCATACATGAATCTATGAAGAAGCGAAAAAGGTTGCCAATATGATTTCTCTGAACCTAATTACCACCAAAAATAAAACTGGAAATGCTTCGGCTGCTTTCTTTAACACGAACGAAAAAAGTGTGAGGCGACGCATCTTTATTATTGTCTCTGTTATATTTATCAAGTTGATGCAAATTGCCTCGGTTGCGTCTATATCCAATTTTTTAAGTATATTTCACATAGGTGATAACCGGTCTGTGGCTTTAACCTCCGGTCGCACAAGCAACTCCACGCCATTATATTTTGTTCCTCCATGGTTATTCAACAAATAGTTCTCTTGACGTCAGGAGACAAACGCTGACAGAACATAGCATCTTTGTAAGCAAATGAAAGAAAAACAAAAAGTGACAACGACGTATACCGTCACATACGTCCCCTCCTTGTCTTCTGCTTTTATTTCCTTATAAATACTCCAAAACACTGGTCAATATATTCACACGGCACCCTTTGCATTTAAATTCTTCGGGCAGAGCGTGGTCTGCCCGCAAACTACCTTAACCTTCCCCGCAGGAAAGCAAACGTTAGAGCCAGAGAATGGAACAGGCGGCGTATCTTACCAGGACCTTCATGGTTTTGTCCTCTGCGTCCACTGACTTGCCTCTCGGCCACAGCGCGGTGCTTTTATACTCGAAGGACCAATAGAAACCTGGGACCCGTTCCGGCACGGGTTATCGCGTGGCGCCCTTCCATGTGCGTCCCTTCGTGCCTCTACCGGAAAGCGGGAAGTCACCTCGCGACAACAGGGTATTTCGGTACGCCCACCTTTCGAAGGAGTATCTATCCGGTATTCTGGTTGCTGAAAAGATAATCATCCCATTACTTCCGCAATCGAGAACTTTTGAAAACGAAACAAGGGCTTGTCTGGAATTCTAATTTTATGCAGAAATAGGGGTCGATGCATATCGGAGCGTTTCCTGATGACGGCGTACTTGCAGTGTTACACATACCTTGCGTTGTAGCACGCGGAAGATTAGTTCGTCGTTCTGCTGTAACAAGACCACGCTTTTGTTTTGGATGTTATTCACAACTGTGCATGACGTAGCACAATTGTTGAAGCATTTTGTTGAGCACATACAGATTCTGAAGGAAATGTATAAGGACCAGCCGCCTGCACCTGAGTGGCTGCCACTTCTTGAGGTGTTACTCGTAGCACGTTCGACAATAGCCAAGACGGCTGGTGTCTTTTAGTGTTTTGTCGCGATTGTGTAGCACCGCATTGTGTCATCGTCCAAATAAAGCCAATAAAGAAATTTAAAAAAACGCGTTGACAAATAATGCCTTTTAAAGCAACTTTGAAATTAAAATAACTTAGATGACAGACGTGACAAAACGAATTGTAGTAGGTGCTAGATGTTGCCTATCTTAAATTTAAGACCTTTTCGGAAAGTCTAAATGTCTTGGTATTCGTGTATTTGTGCGAATACATTTTGCAGGGCCGTTTTCGCTACATTTATTTCCAATAGGTTCAACGAGATGGCACCAAACCAGACGAACCAGGTTCCAAATTCCCCAAGCCAGAGCATTTGTTGTTGCTGCAGCTGTTTTCACGAGTTTGCACGTACGGCAATTCACGGCATGAGTCCTTTGCTTGACACTGCCGAGATCAGTCTTGCCGTATTTTCGGAAAATGATCTTTTGTGAAAAAATAGGGTTGTGTGTATGTTTATACAGCCTAGAACTTGGTCTGCCTGCGAGTGCGCTATTTGATTTGGAGCAAGAGATGCAGAGCAAACTAAAAGAGCAGCGGTGAACTGTCGGCTGTGGCGAATCATTCGTTTCTTCAAGAACGCGGATCCGCCCCCCTTCCCCCCTTCCCCACTTCGCCCCGCAACCTGAATGGAATGTCTGTACGACCCTTTCTTCCAAGTGGACTCTTCTCGAATGAATAGTTTACCTCGTTTCCCTGACCCGTTCCATCGTTCCTTCGTCGAATCGTTATTTCAGTGTCATTTCTTGTGCGGGGCCGTAGTTTTTGAAAACGCGTGTTTCCCGCAAGCCGATCGTGGTGTCGATGTTGACGGACTATACAACGGATGTCGGATGCAGTCGCTCGTCGCGACGCAGCTATCGACTGGATATGAGGTTCTGTTTTACACAGAACTGAAATAAACACCGCACGGATTATCTTTCGCAGTATGGTACGTACGCTTTGTTTCAAGAGCATATGTTTCTCGCGGAGGTGACGGGGGTAATAACGTACAGACGGGTCGACTCGAATAGAACAACAATCTTGGCAGCTACGTGATCACGCAAAAAGAAATCCAAGATCACGACGATTCATTTTCCGTGCGCCACACCTGTCATGTTGCAAGTAACGCGGCGAAAGTGGTCGTACTTGCCATGCCAGTGATAAATCGCCACCTGTACTTACTGCAGCAGTAAGGTTTCATCCACCATGAACAAGCGCGATCTTGAAGCAGGAACGTGCGGCGTGATTCTAGGAGGCACACGCCGCGCTACGCGCATCGCTTTTCTGTTAAACTAGTGTACTTCCTCTAGCCTCCACAGCTCCACTTTTTCTCCAAGAACCATCTACTAAAGATCTCTATTTGTGTAATGCACACTATAGACTGTGCATAGTGCAACAGCAATTAACTCGATTATTATTGATGCCATCCGAATTCAACGCACTATTTTAAGATATCTAACTATTATGGGAACAATGGGGTTCCCTCCATATATATCCCTATCTTGAAGCAGGCCGTGGGAGTCGTCGTCACCAATGGCGGCGGCTACACCGGATACGAGTAACCGATCGGATACGAGTAACCGAGGCCGTATTCGCCGAAGCGGACGGCTCTCATTCGGCCATGTGGGGTGGTGAATGTGCCGCCGACCTACCCTTGGGAGTGATAGTGGATGCGACCCGTTTTCGTATGACCTACTACCGGCCGCCCCGGGCGCGTCCATGTTCCCGCAGTCTCCATAAGCCGGCCCCGAAGGAGGGCCGGGGGCTCTCGTCGGCGGAGGCCCTGGCTCTACGGAGCTCAGTTTTTCTTTGTGGGCCTCCGACTTCCTGTGAATCTGTCTATTGCGGCAGCGCGGGAAACCGACCGAGTGATACTGGCAATTGAGCCAGCGACCCGACTTTTCCTCTCTAAGAGCAAAGCGTGTTGGCATTTGAGTCAATAAACACTCGAAAAACGTACCCACTGTGTTGATGTTGTCTTTCGCCCACCGGTGCCCAAAGACGGAGTAAATGGACGGACCCGGCCATAGCCTCGTAAAGAGCGGACTACGTAGTGGGTATTTACCTCAATGAGGACTCTGGGGTAAAGGTGGCAAGCCCACACTATGAAAAATGCAGTCACTCACTCAAGTTGGTGTCACCTCCATTGAACATGTTCGCGTCGGCCGCGGCGGTTCGATCACCGCTGCCGCCGCGAACATGGGGGAGGGGGTTTCGTCCTTTTTTCAAGCGCCACCAGTTGGCGCTGCATGTGGATCGGGGAAAGAGAGGAAGGGAAGCAATTTCCTCCCTTCCGTTGGCGACAGGGAGGAACATCGCTTTTTCCTCCATTTCCCTCCTGTTTTTCTTAAAGTGCAGAGACTTCTCGGTCGGAAACCGATGAGATGTCACTCTGCTGCATTGCTTTGTGGTGTTATTGCACTCCGCAGCACATCACGTATTCTCCCCACCCTGCATTGCATGCCCCATGTGGCCCATACCAAACGCAATCCGCCAAACCACAGACGCTCACTGGCACTTCAACGCGCAATGACGCGGAGGAGGGAGCGTCGTCTGCTCTCGGATAAAACATTTGACGTCACGAGCGCCGCTGCTTCTTGTTGTCAGTAGTGCGGCAGCCAGCAATTCGGATGTGCACGCGTGAATTTCAAAATTCGTATTCTCGAAAGAAAATGGTTATTTTGATGAGATATTTCGTAGACATATACTGAGGGCTGGATATTTAGTGCATGGTGAAAATTGTACGAAAATCCATGACCATCACTAGTTCCTAAGAAGCCTCGAGAAATTCTATTCGCCATAGAGCAGAAAAGAAACAATAAAATTAAGCAATTTAGCCACCACCGGCATCCGGAGTTGCGAATGCGCAGACTGCCACCGCCAACTGTCGAGCGAATCCACAACGCAATCGGGCGGCACTGACGTACACTCTCGAAACCAGAGACGTTCTCCGTAAAGGGCTTTGTTCGTAGAGAGCGCCGCTGGGAAGGTCTACACATCTTTCGAAGAAACGTCCCAGAGACCATAAAACGTTTTTGAGCACACTCACTGTTTTTTTAAACTATCAGTGTCTGGAGGCAGCAGCTGTCCGGGCATGCGCACAACTCTTGTCCGACAAGGTTCATTATTTACCGCCAATGCCCGCGCGCGTTTTGCGCGTGTGTGTGCGCGCACAGTCGCCCTATCCTTCAAGAACAATTTATAATGACGGTCGCGTTTTCCACGTAATTCCTTTTCTACATAGCTGCGATGACTCTGCTGCGAGGCGTTTTCGGGACGTTACAGCAGCGCGCCGAATGCTGCGTTGAGTAAACTGCTCTCTAGCGATTCTGCGGAACAATGAGCCTTTAACGCCGGCCTCCTCGCGCGTTTAGTGCAATTTACGCGGACGCCCGTTAATTATCACAGAGAGTGACTCGCGAGTTCTGCAGGCTCGTCGATTAATGCTTTGTGCAGGAAGCCATTAACAATGGGCGCGAGGAAACCGCGAGGGCCGATTAGCATGCCCGTTAATCTCCTTTCCTGCAGCTCGTCGTAGTTCGGCATTCTTCGAGGGGGAGGGGGGGGGGGGGAGGGGGGCTTTAATATTTGTACCGAACATTATCTATACACTCCGTGCAACGCGACTGGCGCGCCGCCGCGCGGCCGGTACCGAAGGTAGGCAGTGAGCACCCCAGAGAAAACGAAACCAAAACCACGCCGCGTACGTTGGTACGCGTTGAAGCCGGAGTGGTGCTGTTGCGCTTTTCAGCGCTGGGTTCACAGCTTAAGGACGCAGCCTGTGCTGCGTCATTAAGTGCTTCAATAGTTATGCGTCGTATCTCGTGGGGACAAAGTTTCGAAGTTTTTCACCTCGCCGATGTTTTGTGGGACAGCGACAACGATGGAGCCGTGCCATACGACGCGAGAAATTTGATGTCCCGATCATCTCTGCCACTGTGTCGACACGGCTGACATATTCTACACTGCCGCTTTGCGCTCTGCGTTTGTTTTCGTACCAGTAAAGCCTGCATGTGTCAGCGCCGATGGGACGAACTGAAATGCCATCCCACACTCGCGGGTATGCAGTGCCAATTTCGTTGGAGGAATGCCCTCCAAAGAAGTTTCGTCCCCATCGTACGAGTTGATGATAATTCCGGACAAATATGGCACGCAATCTGTACTTCATGAAGAAAGATTCGAAGGGTAAAAAAAGTGACAAATATAAATCTAAAGAAAACAACCATGAAACTCGGAATCACTGGGGAATCGGCGTTTGAGTATGGAAGTTTATGTGGTGTGCTTTCTTTCTTGATCAGCCTCCTTTTGGATGTGGAAACACTGACACCCCGAGTTCTGTAGACAACAATTTTTTTTCTCGGCTTTAGAGCCACCTATCGCAAAGTCGTTCGAACTGAAAGTACCGTCCACTGGTCCCTTCCTACGTGTAAAGTGT